TGAAAAAAGTTTTTAAAAACCAATTAAGGCGTTATTAAAAAACAAAATCAACCTTAGAGAGAGGTTTCTGAAGAAAATATTTTTGCAATACGATCTTCGAATTCGATAAAAGGAACCTTTCAAGAAGTTCTCCAAACAGAGATTGGAACGGATATTAAATAAGGATTCTACCAATAACTATACATTCGGTTGTGGGGTTGTTGATGAGGAAAATGTCTTTCAAGAAGAAACATCAGTATCATTAACCCAGAAAGTCATCAATTTTGAATACATTTTAGCAGCGATAAGCTTCACCAGAAATTTATCATTTAAATCTATTAATATAAATGCAATAACCCGCCATCTATATATATAAGAAATGAAAACATCCGAATGTTTCTTTTACACATAAAACAAATTTACACTGTCCTTACTGCGATGAAAAATATTGAGAGGGCTTGACTAATCAGTGGTGAACCCTCCCAGCGGTTTAGCCAATTTGGCGGGTTCTGAGAGGGGTTATCATTGATGAGCCAAGCTCTTCCAATATTTTTTCTACGCAGTAAAGACAGTAGAAGTTTGTTTTAATGTGTAAAAGAAACATTCGTGCCTTAGTTTCATTTCTTATATACTTAAATCTATAGATAATATATAAAGATTCAAATATGGGGATTGCTCTATATTCAGAACTTGAATCTATGTTGTATAGAGATTTGATAAATAAAGAACTACCGTAATGGTGTCCAAATATATGTGACAGGTTTCGTAGGCAGACTTACTGTCAACTGGACCCGGACAATTGTCGCCTCACCACCAGAGGGGAAGAGATCTGTGACGAGGATCCCAAGACGTGTGAGAACATCACCTTCATGTCCTATTATATGGTTTGTTTGTTCTCTTCTCTTTCATCTTATTTTTATATCTTCAATATTAAACTACTTAAGTTGTTTTACAATAGAGTTGTGTTCCTTTGGACGTTTTTTTTAGCGAAGAGCTTATACAAGAAAAAAAGCCAGAAATCTACTTTATACTGTAAATATTAAAATTATTTATAAATCATTCTCTATTTTATGTGCTCATAGCATATCTAGAGAAACTGGGTAGTTGTCATTCGACGCTCAATTAATTTGTTTAATTTTTCTCTAGCTACAGAAGCATTGTTTATTGTAATTGGTGTTCAACGCCCCAGGAATTTCTCTCTATCGATAGAAGCATTTTTATTGTAGTTGGCGTTCGACGCTCAAGAAATTTGTCTAATTTCTCTCTTGCCCCAATAGAATTGTTTACTATAGTTAGCGTTCAAAGAACCAAGACTGTGTTTGATTTCTCTTTTGCCCCAGAAGCACTATTTATTGTAGTTGGCGTTCGACGCACAAAGAATTTGACTAATTTTCTCTCTAGCTACAGAAGCATTGTTTATTGTAGTTGGCGTTCGACGTTCCAGGAATGTGTCTAATTTCTCTCTAGCTACAGAATCATTGTTTATTGTAGTTGGCGTTCGACGTTCCAGGAATGTGTCTAATTTCTCTCTAGCTACAGAAGCATTGTTTATTGTAGTTGGCGTTCAACGTTCCAGGAATGTGTCTAATTTCTCTCTAGCTACAGAAGCATTGTTTATTGTAGTTGGCGTTCAACGTTCCAGGAATGTGTCTAATTTCTCTCTAGCTACAGAAGCATTGTTTATTGTAGTTGGCGTTCAACGTTCCAGGAATGTGTCTAATTTCTCTCTAGCTACAGAAGCATTGTTTATTGTAGTTGGCGTTCGACGCACAAAGAATTTGTCTAATATATCTCTAGCTACAGAAGCATTGTTTATTGTAGTTGGCGTTCAACGTTCCAGGAATGTGTCTAATTTCTCTCTAGCTACAGAAGCATTGTTTATTGTAGTTGGCGTTCAACGTTCCAGGAATGTGTCTAATTTCTCTCTAGCTACAGAAGCATTGTTTATTGTAGTTGGCTTTCAACGTTCCAGGAATGTGTCTAATTTCTCTCTAGCTACAGAAGCATTGTTTATTGTAGTTGGCGTTCGACGCACAAAGAATTTGTCTAATATATCTCTAGCTACAGAAGCATTGTTTATTGTAGTTGGCGTTCAACGTTCCAGGAATGTGTCTAATTTCTCTCTAGCTACAGAAGCATTGTTTATTGTAGTTGGCGTTCAACGTTCCAGGAATGTGTCTAATTTCTCTCTAGCTACAGAAGCATTGTTTATTGTAGTTGGCGTTCAACGTTCCAGGAATGTGTCTAATTTCTCTCTAGCTACAGAAGCATTGTTTATTGTAGTTGGCGTTCAACGTTCCAGGAATGTGTCTAATTTCTCTCTAGCTACAGAAGCATTGTTTATTGTAGTTGGCGTTCGACGCAAAAAGAATTTGTCTAATATATCTCTAGCTACAGAAGCATTGTTTATTGTAGTTGGCGTTCAACGTTCCAGGAATGTGTCTAATTTCTCTCTAGCTACAGAAGCATTGTTTATTGTAGTTGGCGTTCAACGTTCCAGGAATGTGTCTAATTTCTCTCTAGCTACAGAAGCATTGTTTATTGTAGTTGGCGTTCAACGTTCCAGGAATGTGTCTAATTTCTCTCTAGCTACAGAATCATTGTTTATTGTAGTTGGCGTTCAACGTTCCAGGAATGTGTCTAATTTCTCTCTAGCTACAAAAGCATTGTTTATTGTAGTTGGCGTTCAACGTTCCAGGAATGTGTCTAATTTCTCTCTAGCTACAGAAGCATTGTTTATTGTAGTTGGCGTTCGACGCACAAAGAATTTGTCTAATATATCTCTAGCTACAGAAGCATTGTTTATTGTAGTTGGCGTTCAACGTTCCAGGAATGTGTCTAATTTCTCTCTAGCTACAGAAGCATTGTTTATTGTAGTTGGCGTTCAACGTTCCAGGAATGTGTCTAATTTCTCTCTAGCTACAGAAGCATTGTTTATTGTAGTTGGCGTTCAACGTTCCAGGAATGTGTCTAATTTCTCTCTAGCTACAGAAGCATTGTTTATTGTAGTTGGCGTTCGACGCACAAAGAATTTGTCTAATATATCTCTAGCTACAGAAGCATTGTTTATTGTAGTTGGCGTTCAACGTTCCAGGAATGTGTCTAATTTCTCTCTAGCTACAGAAGCATTGTTTATTGTAGTTGGCGTTCAACGTTCCAGGAATGTGTCTAATTTCTCTCTAGCTACAGAAGCATTGTTTATTGTAGTTGTCGTTCAACGTTCCAGGAATGTGTCTAATTTCTCTCTAGCTACAGAAGCATTGTTTATTGTAGTTGGCGTTCAACGTTCCAGGAATGTGTCTAATTTCTCTCTAGCTACAGAAGCATTGTTTATTGTAGTTGGCGTTCGACGCACAAAGAATTTGTCTAATATATCTCTAGCTACAGAAGCATTGTTTATTGTAGTTGGCGTTCAACGTTCCAGGAATGTGTCTAATTCCCATCTATCCCCAGTAGCATTGTTTATTGTAGTTGGCGTTCGACGCGCACAAAGAATTTGTCTCATTTCTTTCTATCTACAGAATCATTGTTTATTGTAATTGGGATTCGACGCTCCAGGAATATCTATCTATCCCCAAAGCCATTGTTTACTGTACAGCTGCCCAATCCCGGCGATCTCGAAGAAGAAGTGTTGGTACGCAATGCCCTCACCTTAGAGAAGTTCACCAACGGTTCCATCAACCTCATGAAGTCCTGCCATGTTTCCTGGGCGCCAGACGACCCTCTCTGCTCGTGAGTAGAATGTTGTTCCTTGGCCTCGGTACTCCAATGGTGGTTGTAGAGAAGAACGGCTTCTGAAGTTTCTCTCCTATTCTTTCTTTGAAGTCCTTCCCATCTGCTACACGATCAACAGTCTGCTTGGACGCCAAGAAGGCCCCAGTAACTGGATTCCTACCGTTACACGTGAGTCCAGTTCCCTGGGTACACTTTCTTGAGACAAACCTGAATTATCTACAAGATAATCGGTTCATTCAATCATCTAATGGAATTATAAGTTAAAAAAAATGTGTGTGTGATATTTTCTAGAGAGGGTTTTGGTTTATATTAAAACTAACAACCTTTTTTTAAAAAGAAATTAAGATCCTTTCTCTAATTTATTTCAAATACCAAAAGAGCTTAATTATTAAATAAAATATACATACAGTGTGTGTGTATATACATACAAACTTCTCAGTTATTTTTGTTTTCCGGATTTTCAATGGCCTACTTTAAAATACTTGGAGCATCCTCGATGTATATGAGTTTTGATCAAATTTTGGAATACCTTATTTATGAATTTAAGCTGAAATAAGCGCCACGAAAGGCAAATGTTAACAATTAAATTTGTATTTAATTATTTTATATACATTTATATTTCAATGATATTAATAATTAAGCATCACGTATTATACCTACACTATCCGAAAATACTTAATTTTTGATTTAATGAAATTTAGAAGATTGTGTTAGTATCAAATTCTAAAACAAATGTGTATTGAATATAGGGTTCATAAAACGGAATTATAGAGTTGCATACTGAATTAATCATATTTTTATTATCTTTTTATACCTGGTGGAACGTTAAACTTTGTAGTAAATAAAGAAATGAAATCTTTAAGCACAATACTTCCTTTTTAAAATAAAACAAACTTCTTACTGACCTTACTGCGATGAAAAATATTGAGATGACCTGGTTCATCAGTATAGTTGGCAGTTTCTTTTATATGAAAAAGGAAATTTCTAATGCTCAACGATTTCATTTCTTTTATATAGATGTTGAATTATTGCTTTTATGTTGTAGTAAATTGTATGAGAGAATCTGGGGAGAGAGATTGAGATTGAAACTGATTTATTACAATGTTCATATAAGATTATATAAGGTTAAATACAGAATAAATATAAATAAATAAGATTATATAATGATAAATATATGAATAAATAGATAAAAATATCTACTTATATAATTGCCTTATTCTGTCTGTGTGAAGTTCACTGTGTGAAGTTCACGGATAGATTTTGGTCAGAATGGATAAAATAAAAAAAGTGTCAAGGGATGGTAATCGAACCCACGACCTTCCGCTTACAGGGCAGATGCCATGACCACTAGGCCACATGACCACAATTTATAATTGTAACAAATAGTATTTGAATCAAAACATTCAATCGGGTAAAACACGGGCGTTGCCCGGGTCATTCGGCTAGTATAATATAATTGATAAATATATATATAATATATACAGTCTTCTTGGAGAGAGAGAATCTTCTTTTATACACATGCTTATAATTTGAACTTAGTATTTCCTATTACAGTGTCGAGCTTTCAAGAAAAATCACCTAAAAATTGATTGAGTCGTAAATTATTTACATTAACCTTTATTCATGATAAAATTGTGGAAAAAAAGTTTTAAAATGACAAATATTTTCTCACAATGAGTTTCTTTTTTTATTAAAAAACGCTAGCTTTCAAGTGATAATCGCTCTTCAACGGGCTTAATAAAATATCGACTTTATCCTACCAGAAATATTTACAAAAACAAACGCGCGCAGCGTGGATTTTAATAATAATAAAAAAAACTCATTGTGAGAAAATATTTGTAATTTTAAAACATTAACCTTTATAGATGGAAATCTTGCCGGGAGGAAATTGATCTACCAAAGCATAGGGAACCTTTCTTGTTAATATAAACTTTATTTCATAATTCCAATGTTTCGACGATTTATTGTCGTCCTTTTCAAGAAAATATTTGGCTACTGTTTACCTTTATACAAATTCAAGGTAATAAGACCAAATCCAAATAAATAAATTGTGTGTGACGCTTCGGTAACAGCGTTGTTACTATCTTCAGACAAAGTACGCTGTTACCGAAACATCACACACTATTTATTTATTTGGATTTGGTCTTATTACCATGAGTTTATAATCTATAATCCAAATTGTGCTTTATTGTATTTATACAAATTCTTAATGATTAGAAGTCAAGAAGTATTAAAGATAAATAATTTACGACACAATTATATAACCAATATGCAAAATAGCGTTTTCCATAATGATGAGATTGTGTCTATAGTAGTTCTCTCATTGGAAGTGAATTAATCAGGCCGTACTGTCTTTTTTTTTTTTTCAAATTATAAAAATATATTCGCTTTGAGAAGCTATCACTTATTGGTTATTGGTAGGATTTTTACTGTATAAAAAAGTAGGCTATTGTTGTCATATTCTAATATTCTGGGTCTCAGTGTTCAAGGGCATGTTTGTTATGTTATTAAAGTATGTAAGAAGGATGAATCCGTAACCAATTTAACTTTGCATATTATTTATTATTAATAGCAATTATACAAAACAAACCTTGGTATGTTTTACATGAAAACAGCAAGAACGATAATTATTATATACATACTAGTTCCTTTTCAAACAATAGCTCATCTATAGTCATTGTTACTCTGTGAAATATTTCAACAATGGTAACCCGAACTCTCGAGAAATAGATAAATTGTAAAAGGAAACCTAGCTCTTGATTCCTTATTGATTTGTTCAAAGTGTAAAATCAGGGAATAATCTTTATTATATTCTCTAATATGTATATATGTCATAATATATGCTCTTCCAGGAATAATAAAGCAAACCTACAGTAAACCCAGAGAGAGACGGGAGGGTAAGGACCGGTCACTTTAGACATCAGCGACATTCCAAGGGGAGACTACTGGGGCCCGTTACTTGGAACCTCGGGACTTTTAAGACAGTTGGGGATTGTGTGCGACACGAACGGCCGCCCGGCTGTTGCCGGGCCCGTCTCCCTCCCTCTCTCTCTGGTTGCCTGGGTTTCTCTTCCAATTTGTGGTGTCCTTATTTCTTTCCCCACCTTATTATATTGCCACATATATGTATGGTATTTGTAGAGGATGAAGGGAACTACATGAAGATTATCCTGGACTTAGAACCTGAGCAATACTTTCAGGGAAAAAGGCCTGTAGAAGGCTATGTTCTGGTCCATAATCCATATTACATCGACAGTCCATTCGTACACGCCTTTCTTGTACGTCCAGGGTATTCCTACAGTCTGCAAGTTCGCGTGGTAAGTTTAGCTGTATGTGTTCTGGTTATATGTGACATGGATGTTTACAAGACCCTCACCCGACTTCTACCTTCTCCATTCCCCACCAACTGCACCGACTACGAGAAACTTTGGGAAGCACGTAACAAAACCGGTCCAAGAAACCAAATGGCAAGTTTCACTACGCACTTATTTTATTAAATACTTTTCTCTTACTGTTCTCAGTATGATGGTTTCAGTAATAATTCTTTTATTTAGTTTATATAAGACATGCCATTGCGTTTATGTTGAGGTAGAATTTAATACACACATCTAATAATTATTTTAATTGAAGCTGCATATTTGTTATGAAAAAAAAATATATTTATTTAAAAATTGTATTTTTTCTATTGTTTTTCACCTACACACACATATACAGTAGAACCTCCCTTTAGTGGACACCTCTCCACCAAGAGCAGTTTTCATTTTCAAAATTGCCATTTTTACAATTTAGCAACTCTCCGATAAGAGGATACCTCTCCTTAAAGAATACTTTGGCTCTGCAATTAGGTGTACTTTACAGGGAGGTTCTACTGTATATATAAACATTACTCGTTACGAAAAAAATAAAAAAAGGTTAAGACAAATATTACTTTAAAAATAGGTTTCTTATTAGCGTCAAAAATCCAGTCGAAGAGTGCTCAAATACTTGCTCATTTAAAATAAAAGAAACACATTTGTTGATATAAGTAATATTTATGGCAATAGAATTTAATAAATACTATGCTATTAAAAACAACGATAAGTGTTATTATTGTGTAAAATATTCATTGCTAATGTACCTAATGTGGATAAGAGAATGCTAACTATATAACATGTGAGAGGTTGTACATATAGGTTAATAAGGGACAGTATATGTGTACCTAGATGTGTATACGGGAATGTATAATCGCTGCCACCAGAGAACGCTGTCATTGCTTCCCCGTGTTCCTGCCTATGCCACGGGAGACCATCGGTGATGACGAGAAATTCTGTGAGAGAACATGTGAGTTCCTTAAACCACACTTTCTTATATCTACACCTATCTCTAACACACAGAAATATATAAAAATTGTAGAGCGAAGTTTGAAAATTATACTGCAAATGTTTCTTTTGAACGAAAATTCGAAATTTATTTTAAGGAGAACTTCATACTTTATCCCTAAGGTTAGAAATAATTGTTATTTCTCCTTGAAATAAATTTAGATTTTTCGTTCAAAAGAAACACATTTGCGGTATAATTTTCAAACTTCGCTCTACAATCATAAGCCGCATTATATTGTATTATAAGTTACTATATATATAAAAATAAAGATAGCCTCTCTCCCGTCAAATAAATGGCGCTTAGTTTTAACGTCTATTTTAACGAGAGAGATGACCTTTATTTATAAAGATCCATTTTCTCTTCGGAAAAATTTCCATCAATATTTTGGCCATAGATTTTACCTAGCCACTATCTACCAGCTAAACACCTCTTTGTCAATCTGCATGCCATTGTTAGGGGCTATGACACTCATCAGTACAGAGTCGGTTTCGATTTTGATGGCATCCTACGAGAACAGCTATGAGAAATCGATTAAATGTACAAACCGTAAAGTTGTTTACTGGGGTGATAAATATAATGCATGGTTCTGATCCATAATTAAATAGAGGTGCCTCTTTATGTACATGAATATCATCCTTCCGCAAAAGTATGTTATGTACACAAGTATGAAGTATGCTACTTGTATGAAGTATGCGAAGATTAAATTAAAGATAAGTGTTTATAAAATCGAGAAATATTTTGTGATTGAACGAAAACATTTCGACCTTTCTTTCTCAATACCGATAAAGCATTCTTAAGATGAGGTATAGACACAAAACTAATAATATTTTCCTATTTGTTACATCAATATTCACTTTTATCATATATATTATCAGAATAAATTATTAATTTATATTAACAATATATATAAATGGTGTCTCCCAAATACTACAGTGGACCCGGAGGCCTGTGAAAGTCAACTGGACATCTCGTATTGCCAAGAAAACTGCCAGACCGGCTGCACGTAAGTTTGATCACCCTTCTTTCATCTTGTAATATGGATAAAGACAAATTCTCTACTTCTTTATCGAAATTTTTATCCAAGTATAGAATTCCATCATAAATTATATTATTCTTTGTGGCAATGAAAGAGCTATAACCTCTAGATTAAACATCCACTTGAGAGATCAGAAGACAAAGAATACATATATTAAAAATAGGCATAACCTGACCGCCGCGCTCACATGGGCATTCTACATGGCAGAGCGTCATCTATAGGAATAAAAATTAATTGAATTTTGATTTGGATTAATCTACTTATATAATTGCCTTATTCTGTCTGTCTGTATGTCTGAAGCTCACGGATAGAATGCGCGCCCATTGGCTGCCGGCGAACACGTGTTATCAGCAGTGTGCTACATCCACCTGTCTATAGCGGCCATTCTAGACAACCCTGTTATCAGCAGTGTGTTACATCCACCTGTCTATACAGGTCACCCTGTCTATAGCGGCCACTCTAGACACCCCTGTTATCAGCTGTGTGATACATCCACCTGTCTATACAGACCACCCTGTATATAGCGGCCATTCTAGATAACCCTGTTATCAGCTGTGTGATACATACACCTGTCTATACAGACCACCCTGTATATAGCGGCCATTCTAGACAACCCTGTTATCAGCTGTGCGATACATCCACCTGTCTTTACAGACCACCCTGTCTATAGCGGCCACTCTAGACAACCCTGTTATCAGCTGTGTGATACATCCACCTGTCTATACAGACCACCCTGTCTATAGCGGTCACTCTAGGCAACCCTGTTATCATCAGTGTGTTACAATCACCTGTCTATACAGACCACCCTGTCTATAGCGGTCACCTCAGGCAACCCTGTTATCAGCAGTGTGATACATACACCTGTCTATACAGACCACCCTGTCTATAGCGGCCACCCTAGACAACCCTGTTATCGGCTGTGTGATACATACACCTGTCTATAGCGGCCACTCTAGACAACCCTGTT